AATCCTTATATCCATTACTTGGCTCTTATCAGTGATACCGAGTTAAGCCAGGGCTGCCGGAGTCCGTGGGATATGCATAGTCTCCCTGACTCATCCTAATTCAATTAGAGGGAACTGTGGGTTGAATTCGGTTCCTGAGAGGAGATTATAAGAGAAAAATGAGGCTTATCCATCCTGCCCTATATTAAGTCTATTTATGTGCACATTATGTAACAAATTGGGCTCTTAGAAGAATATCATATGAATTTGTCCTGAAAAAGACAGGAAAAAATTACAGACATGAAGAAGTTTGGGGGAGGGTACAGAATGTGTTACTAGAATGATTTTTCAAGTAATACAAAGTTCTGTTTTCAACAACATACTCTTATTGAGGAAGTACTGAAAGAATAAAAAACTTGTACTATATTTTAACTTAACAAAGTCCTAATATTTAAGAAAATCATTTCTGCATTTATCCTTGGGCAGATGCTATTGTGCTTGAAACGTGTTTTTTGTCTTGAACATTTTTCTATCTCTATTTTTAAGCGTAAATAGAGGTGCTTCCAAATGTGCATGTTATTTTTTCATCTTTGGACATTTATATAAATATGAATTGAATAGATCATACTTGATATTCTAACAGTTTTTACCCACAAAAATGTCATACACGGTAAAGAAGTTTCATATGTTTTATTTCACTTGAAATAACATGACTTTAAAGTGATCAAATTAGAGTTAAACATATATGTTCTCTTTACAGTCTTTTTCATGTTTTCCTGAGTGATTACCTGTACAGCACTGATGACAGCTTTGCTATGTCTGTATATAACCGTAAGTCTTACATAACCAATAACGAATTTGAAAATTCAATATTTCCTTTATATAGTAATCATGATAAAATAGTTGCACTGGAAAATGTCAGTTAATATTGTAATAACGTTAGAGCTACAAACCTGACATCTGTAATCGTTGTCAGTCATAAAAATATAGCAAATTTGGATAAATTTAGTTCAGTCATTCAAACAGACTGAAGCTTCTTGTCACCTGCTTTCCTTTGTGATTTGATTACCTTGGACTAGGTTTTCCTTAAAGAAAAAAAGAAATGTATTCAAAGGAAAGAGCTAATAGTGAAGCAAAGGAATTATTCAAGAAACTTACCACTTTCCCAGTTTGCACAGCCTTAAAAGGTGTTAATTTTCTTTCCGTGGTGTTAAAATTCTGCATTGTCATTTTCTAAACAGTGATAATACAAATAACCTTTAGTATCTTCACACAGTTTTCCCCCTAGAAGTACGCTACAGTAGTGTAGCCTCTTTTGTGAAATGGGGACAATACTACCTGCTGGGACATTAGAGCCCCGGTGATTGATTAACGTCTGTTAGACACAATAAGCTATATGGATTAAAGGAACTTCAGAAGTATAGGGCATGGGAAGTATATTTTTAATTTAATTTTCAACTTTGATTACAATATAGAACCAGTATAAAAGATATGAAAATTTTAGTCTTGAAATCCTTGAGGTCATTTGATCATTCCAAATACCACAGTCTGTCTCTTATACACAATGTTTCTTAAAAAGCCTTTGCAACCCATGTGAAAAGTAATTTTAAAATGCTGGACGATAACTAGAAAACTCAAATGAAAATCCAATTAAACAGGTCATAATTTAAGTTATTAAATGTTATTACATGGACACTATTGTTTAATACATATAAGCAGAGCAGCATTAAATTTTTGAAATTTAAAAATTTTAACTTGACATGTTTCCATAGAAATCTGTAATAGCATTTTAGTTTTCAGTCAGCTGGCTGAAGGTGACTTAGCTTCACAAGTGTCCCATGACTTACATAACACGCAGAAAACACCAAAGGCAATTTGACTACAGCCCAGATGATGTAATTCCTAAAGTCCTAATCAGTTACAACACAGGTGAGAACATCTTAATTCCTGGCTATAGAACCCCACATGCATTGACAAAGATGAATAAGGGTTAAAGAGATCTAATTAGAAATCTAGAATACATATTGAAAGCTCTGAATTAGAAGTCATAATTGGAAATCTAATATTTTTTTAAGTTCACTAAGGAAAAATGTCTAAAATGCAGAAAAACAACATATTTTCCTAGAAAAACTAAAATTACTGTTTCCCAAATCATAAATCCACAGACCTAACTTTTGAAATAGAGGTGGATTGTGAGCAGCTCTCATTATGAACATGTTCTATATACTGGTTTGGGCAGAAGCCTCAAGTTATTTTTTTCCTGGAATATTAATGAGATCTCTAATCGTAGTTCTCATTCTGTAATTTATAAGTTGGAATATAATAGGGCAAACAATGAGCTTCAGTCGTTCTGGCTTTAAGAGCTGGTACGGTTAAAGAAGCTCAATAATTTAGAAATGCTAAATAAACACAAAATAGGATGCACTGAAGTCAGCTCTATTTCTGTATTCAATTTCCTTCACAAAGAATCTAGAGGTACTTACTTTTGGGGGCTTTGACCTGTAGGTTCCATTAATTGGAGTCTCATGGTCATAAATTTAATCATGAGATGATTTTTTTCTCTTCCCTAACCTTCATCTGTGTTCTAAGATTTCATCTATGAGCATAGGATAATAATGGGTTCTGACTACAAGTCAAGCTATCCTTTAGCAAACAGAAACAATTACACTTGGTAATAAGGTTAAATAATTATTGCTAAGCTATGTGTTGCGATTACAACAGAACTTTGAAATGACTACAGTATGATTAGAATAGGAATGTGAGATAGCATGATACTTATGAATTGAACTGGAAAGTGGCTGTGCTGCAGTGTTTATTATAAATGTATCAGGATGATGGTTCATTTATTTTAAACTAGTCCAAAGCATGAAGTAGGTGACGGCTGGAACAACGTACTAGCTTTAACTTTAGATTTTGTGAATGGCAAAATCATCATCACCGGTAAGATAAAAGAATTCCTTTAATTCACATTGTATCAGATAATTTTTTTTTATTTTTAGATACTTAAACAGCCCTTTTTATTAAATTTATGTATTCTAATCCTATAAAATACTGTTATATAGGTTATTTAAAAGCAATATCAACCTTTTTGAGAGAAACCAGTTTTATATTTTACATGTAAGGGAGCAGTGTATTTTACAGTGAGGTTTTAGGCACTGCACTTTTACTGTGAATATTCACTGGAGAAGTGTGAATAAAGAAAGAGGAGCTCACGTTTTCATAGATGAGAGAAAATTGTAATGCCACACGAGTTGGTGAAAAAAAAAGGAATTATAATCTAAGTTTGGTAGGCATAGTGACTGTTTTATTCTTGTTTTTGTTTTCCTTTTAATATCTAAAAATAAGTTGTTCCTATTGGAAAAAAAAAAAAAAACATTGTACTAAAAAACAAAAGCTATCCCCTAAATTTGCCATCATAGTACCTAACTATGTGAAGAGCCTTTAATGCATCTACAGCCCAGTACAGAATACGGAACACGGAGGTTTAAAATAAATGCTCTTTACCCTCGGTTAGAGCATAGAGTTAGAACAAGTTACTCTATCATGCATTAAGACCTTCTCAGACAACCTTTATAGGTCATTCAAAAATACTTTTTGGTGTGTTCCAAGCGAAATGTTATTAATTCCTCAAACTTAGGTATCTGCCATTATAGGTATAGCCCCTTACACAAATTTTCGTGGTTTAGTAATTTTAAGATATCAATTAAAAAAACAGTGTTTGGGGGTCTAATATTTACGGAACAAAGCTAATCCTTTCGGGAGTCATTCCATTTAGCTCTTGTATGAAAAGGAGAAGCATGTGAGGATATGCCACAGAGCAGGTTAGAAAGACACAGGGAAAGACAAGTATTACAATTAAAGTTGGAATCAGAAGTGCAAAGGGAAAGGAAATGTTCTACAGCTGAGGGAGCAGCTGGACAAACTCCTTCCACCAGCCTTTCGCTAGCAAAGTTTGCAGTTAGGTGAGCTGGAAGCGGGTTTTGCTGCCGCCGCCGCGCGACCGGGCGAGCTCGGGTTCCCAGGTTTCTGGCCACCGCGGGAGCCGAAGCGCAAGGACACCTAGGATCGGCCGCCGTGGCCCGAGCTGTTCGAGCGGCGACTTCACACCGAACGCCAGACTGGCCTAGGGCTGATCACGGGAGCTCCCAGACGCTGCCACTTTCTCTTCCGCCCCCCCCCTCCCCCGGCAGCTTCCGTCACCCTGCTTCTAGGAAGTGCTCCAATTAATTTTCTTTCCGGTCTTGATTGAGATTCAAATATCCTGTCCCGACCTTTCCCGACCTTTCGCTGTCTGCCCTCTCTGCCCTTCTCGCCAGTGTTCCTGCCAGCAAAAGCCTCTAGTTGCAGCACTGGGCATGTTGTCTGTTGAACGCTCTCCGGAGAGCTGTTGGCCGGTGCTCCCTCCCGAGGGGGTGACCGTGCGTATCGTGCCCCGTACCCCGGGTTTGACTCTCTCCCTTCTTTGCATTTTGGCCCCTCCATGTAGTAAAGACAAGTGCGAAATGTGCGCCCGGAGATGAGCCCTCTCGGCGTCCTCCGTCCGCCCGCCGCGGTGCGGTAGGCTCCCCGGATCCTTGCCTGCTCCCCCCGCCAGCCTCCCGCGCCGCCCCGGGCCGTCCCACCACCGGTGCTCCGCCGTTCCCCGCCCAGCGCGGCACAGAGCAAGCCCTCAGCCCGGTTCGCGCGCGGTGAGAACCGCAGCCGCGCGGGCTTGGGGAGCACCAGCGTTTCCCTCGCGGGCCGGACCCTGCTGGGCATGCTCAGTGCGCCTCCTGGAACCCGGCTCTCCCGGGGCCAGGATCAGTTCTCCGGGTTTTCGCGGCTGCCGAGGGGGCGCTGAGGAGGGGAGGCTGGGAGACAGTCAGTGCCTTGTTCCTCGCCCCCTCCCTCGCGCCGGGCTGCGGCCGCCCGCACCGCAAGATGCGGGCCAATCAGGGGCTGGGGGCGGGGCTCGGCTAGTCACGCCCTCCCTCTGGGCTTATTGAGAGTTATATCAAGAAATTCAGTTCAGAGAGGAGAGAGGAGAGGGAGAAGGAGAGAGGGGCAGAGGAGAAGGGAGAGAGGGAGAGCATGCAAGACAGGAAGGAGCGCCTTAGAGTCTCTGAAGCACGAAAGAGATAACGGATTAGGAATTTTTCAGGCAACTGTCATCCCGGAGAGCAGCCGGAGACTAACCATCACCCCAACTCTGACGTTTCCTACAAGAAGTTAGAGACTTAAGCAGTATTGACATCGGAGAGAAATGGTATGCTTGATGCTGTGGAAAATACCCCAGAGCTGAAGAAGTGCAACTGGATGTTGTGTGTGTGTTAAATACCAGAAGAGCCCAGACCCCGTGGGTAATAGAGACGAAATGTGGAGAGAATGACTAACGACAAATCTGTGAATTTGTTCTCTGGAGTTGCTAATTTGCCAGCCCGAAGCAACACATTTTACAAGGAGGAAACGTTTTGCTGCTTCTGATTTCTCCCCAAACTGGTGCTACCAGATGCATGGCTTTCTATGTGTTGGAACAAATCATTCCTAACTGCAGCATACCAGGAAAGGGGAAAGGTTGAGGCAACTAACGTAAGTGTAAAGTTTCGCATGCACAATTGTAAATTTTGTGTTTAGATATGTCCTCAGTGTGGACGAGGGATGTTTGTAATTGGGTAGACGGTTGGGGCAGAGCTCACCTACTAAGCTGTATCTGCATCCCTACCTGCATCACTCTGCTGGAACTAATCGCGCGGGCATCAGCTACCGTGCAGCCTAATGCAGATAAGATTAGAGCCTGGGAACTGACCAGTTCTACTCAAGTAGGTAGCTGCCTGGAGGCTTGCACCCATTTAAATTGCAGTTAGGGGAGCATCTAAGCAGAAGCCTTTTTACCTGCGTTATTGGGTTGCAGCATTTATGTGTGGCAAATGTTACTAATATTATAACCAGGGATCAGGGTTAAGAAACTGCATTTTTTTTTCCTTCTATGCTCAGTAGAAAATATTGTGCTGTTACATGGAAATGTTAGCTGCGTTTCACTTACATCTCAACACTCTCTTCCACATCTAGGATAAGGGATCCTGTTTTATACATTTTTAAAAGTTTTAGTGTGCTTCTTAATCCAAATGGGGAGAATTTGGCAATATGGAGAAATGAGAGCAAGGTCTGGGCAGGAAATTTGAAGTCCTGGTATTGTGCTTTTAGGCAATGAGGATATGTAGTGGCCAGTGACTATTGCTTCTGATGCTGCAGCAGCATGTCCGGATGCTTGTTTCCCAGTAAGACTGGATTAGAGGCAGCTGAAGAACTGGGAGGAAAGAAAAAGATAGTCATTTTAGACGAAAGAGATGACTCAGTGTAGCAGAGAAGAAAACATCACATTCGACATGTGACAAAGCAATTAGCAGGAACCATAGCTAAATAGTTAGTGTTTTTCACTTGCACCTAAAAAAACTAAGGGAGCTGGGTTAGAAGCCAGGAGGCGGGTAAGACAGGGGGAGGGGAAGAAGAGAACATAAGAATGCATGTTTTGAATTAAACAGTGTCCTGAAAAACAGTCTGGGTGAGTACAGGTAAAAATAGCAGCTGTCCTTAATTCAAAAGTAGATGAATTTCATTTTCTCTGGGCAAACGCAACAAGCAGTGGCTATTTAATGTTTTCATCCACAGAGTTAACTTGCAAACAGTGGCAGAGCAAACTGCCATGTTTACTAATATGCAGTGGAAAATGTGTTGTGATATTTCATGACTGTGTGTTTTTGTTTACTGAAGAATAATATTGTCTATACGATTGTGTTGACAGTGGCTGTCTCCAAATAAGCGATGAGATGTAATGCCTCCTCCAGTCCATGCACGCTTCCTCTTGCAATTCGTGCATCATTCCTCAGTGGAAACCCTTAAACCCTAAAATCCGGGAAAAGAAAATAAATACATTATCATGGACCTGAGGGATTTTTACCTGTTGGCTGCTCTGATTGCCTGTTTAAGGCTGGATTCCGCAATAGCTCAAGAACTTATTTACACTATTAGAGAGGAATTGCCTGAAAATGTGCCCATAGGAAACATACCAAAGGATCTGAACATTTCTCACATCAATGCTGCCACAGGGACCAGTGCCAGCCTTGTCTACAGACTGGTTTCTAAAGCTGGGGATGCCCCTTTGGTGAAAGTATCCAGTAGCACTGGGGAGATTTTCACAACCTCCAATAGAATAGACAGAGAAAAACTCTGTGCTGGAGCCTCTTATGCTGAGGAGAATGAGTGTTTCTTTGAACTTGAGGTAGTGATCCTCCCCAATGATTTTTTCAGGCTGATCAAAATAAAAATAATTGTCAAGGATACCAATGATAATGCCCCCATGTTTCCATCTCCTGTCATCAATATTTCCATTCCAGAAAACACTTTGATCAACAGCCGCTTTCCAATTCCATCAGCAACAGATCCTGACACAGGCTTCAATGGTGTTCAGCATTATGAATTGTTAAATGGGCAGAGTGTTTTTGGACTGGATATCGTGGAAACTCCGGAGGGAGAGAAGTGGCCACAATTGATTGTTCAGCAAAACTTGGACAGAGAACAGAAAGATACCTATGTGATGAAAATCAAAGTAGAGGATGGAGGCACTCCACAGAAATCCAGCACGGCCATACTGCAGGTCACAGTAAGTGATGTAAATGACAACAGGCCAGTGTTTAAAGAGGGTCAAGTGGAGGTGCACATTCCAGAGAATGCTCCGGTAGGCACCTCTGTAATTCAGCTCCATGCCACTGATGCAGATATAGGCAGTAATGCTGAAATACGGTACATTTTTGGTGCCCAGGTCGCCCCTGCAACCAAAAGACTCTTTGCTTTAAATAATACTACTGGGCTGATAACAGTTCAGAGGTCCTTAGATCGAGAGGAGACGGCCATTCACAAAGTGACAGTGCTGGCTAGCGATGGCAGCTCCACACCCGCTCGAGCAACGGTTACCATCAATGTCACTGATGTAAATGATAACCCTCCTAACATAGACCTCAGGTACATTATAAGTCCCATCAATGGCACAGTGTATTTATCTGAGAAAGATCCTGTCAATACAAAGATTGCCCTAATTACAGTTTCAGATAAGGACACAGATGTGAATGGCAAAGTGATCTGTTTTATTGAGAGAGAGGTCCCATTTCATTTGAAGGCGGTGTACGACAACCAGTATTTGTTAGAGACCTCCTCTTTGTTGGACTATGAGGGCACCAAAGAATTCAGCTTTAAAATTGTTGCCTCTGATTCTGGGAAGCCCAGTTTAAATCAGACTGCCCTGGTAAGGGTTAAGCTTGAGGACGAAAATGACAACCCACCAATTTTCAACCAGCCTGTAATTGAGCTGTCAGTTTCTGAAAACAACCGACGTGGGTTATACTTAACAACTATTAGTGCCACAGATGAAGACAGTGGGAAAAATGCGGACATTGTTTATCAGCTTGGGCCGAATGCCTCCTTCTTTGATCTGGACCGAAAGACAGGAGTTTTGACAGCCTCCAGAGTCTTTGACAGAGAAGAACAAGAACGTTTCATTTTTACAGTAACTGCCAGGGACAATGGGACCCCTCCCCTCCAAAGCCAAGCGGCTGTGATAGTTACTGTTCTGGACGAGAATGACAATAGCCCCAAGTTTACTCATAATCATTTTCAATTTTTTGTGTCTGAGAATCTGCCAAAGTATAGTACTGTGGGGGTAATCACAGTGACAGATGCAGATGCTGGGGAGAATAAAGCTGTGACTCTTTCCATTCTAAATGACAATGATAATTTTGTGTTGGATCCCTATTCTGGAGTCATAAAGTCAAATGTCTCATTTGATAGAGAGCAGCAGAGTTCCTACACTTTCGATGTCAAAGCCACTGACGGAGGACAACCACCCCGCTCCTCTACTGCAAAAGTCACTATCAATGTCATGGATGTCAATGACAATAGCCCAGTTGTCATTTCTCCACCTTCCAACACTTCTTTTAAGTTGGTGCCCCTCTCGGCCATTCCTGGCTCTGTGGTAGCAGAAGTCTTCGCCGTGGATATTGACACGGGGATGAACGCCGAGCTCAAGTATACAATTGTGAGTGGGAACAACAAAGGCTTGTTTCGGATTGACCCAGTAACAGGTAACATTACTCTGGAAGAGAAACCAGCGCCTACTGACGTGGGCTTGCACCGTTTGGTGGTCAACATAAGTGACCTGGGATACCCAAAGTCTTTGCACACGCTCGTGCTTGTTTTTCTCTACGTTAACGACACTGCTGGGAATGCCTCCTATATCTATGACTTGATTCGCAGGACTATGGAGACCCCACTGGACAGGAACATAGGGGACAGTAGCCAGCCCTATCAAAACGAGGACTATCTCACCATCATGATCGCCATTGTCGCAGGTGCCATGGTGGTCATAGTCGTGATCTTTGTCACTGTCCTGGTGCGCTGTCGCCATGCATCCAGGTTTAAAGCAGCTCAGAGGAGCAAGCAGGGTGCTGAGTGGATGTCCCCGAACCAGGAGAACAAACAAAACAAGAAAAAGAAAAGGAAGAAAAGAAAGTCTCCCAAGAGCTCTCTTTTGAACTTTGTTACAATCGAAGAGTCCAAACCCGATGATGCAGTGCACGAACCTATCAACGGGACCATAAGTCTGCCGGCTGAGCTGGAGGAGCAAAGCATAGGAAGGTTTGACTGGGGCCCGGCCCCTCCCACCACCTTCAAGCCTAACAGCCCTGACCTGGCAAAGCACTACAAATCTGCTTCTCCACAGCCTGCTTTCCATCTTAAACCAGACACTCCAGTCTCCGTGAAAAAGCATCATGTGATTCAGGAACTCCCTTTGGACAACACCTTTGTCGGGGGTTGTGACACCCTTTCCAAACGCTCTTCCACTAGTTCAGATCACTTCAGTGCCTCAGAGTGCAGTTCCCAAGGAGGCTTCAAGACAAAGGGCCCCTTACACACCAGACAGGTAAACGAGCACTTTTACTGGTCTATAAGTACTGCATACAAGTGCCCAGTCAACCAGTATTAACGTGCCAGTGTGTCTATTGTTTTGGTCTAACTTTAGCTTAGTTTGAAAGAGGGAAAAAAAACTTGACCCCTTTTCTGTTCCTCTGGGGCTCAGTCAAGAATTTTTAGAACAGCTTTGAAATTTCTGAGTTCTGAGAATTATTTAACCTCCCAGTTTTCTTCAAATGGCAAAAGATGAAAAGAGGAAACGATTCCAAAAATGTCCCAAGATAATGTTTGCTGAAGAAGAAAACCTGTCCTGATATGCCAAATTCTGCTCTTGGGGTTTCCAAATTGACTGCTTCGAGATTTTTCATATTACCTTTTGATCTAAAAAGTCACCTTCAAATCCCAAGTTTTAAATGACGTTTGAAGGTCTGACCGTAATTATTTTGGAGCTGTGGTTGCTAAAGGGGTTAATTTTTTTTTAGTCTCTAAACAAGATAGTAGATTATTAAACGTACATCAGCTGTGAAGCACATGATTGTCGATAGATTGCAACGAAGCCATATAGGAAGCCTTCTCTTTGATTTCAGATGATTTCATTGTAATATAGTAAATTGGGTATTGAATAGAAAGGTTGGCAAATTGTCCATAATGGCCAAAGTACTCTTTCAAGGAAAAAAAAAAAAAATAGAAGGAATGCTTTCTCCCTGATATAACCAATTTATACAGAAAAGAATGAATCCATTGTAAATAGTCTCCCATCTTAGTAATGCATAAGTGATCTGTCATAACTCATTTTAAACTGTGAAATATGCCATATGAAGAGGGATTAAGAGGCTGAGAAACTCATATTTCAACCAAATCCAGAATTAGTTTTTCTTAGGTCTAATAATTCCTTGTTAATAAAGATTTAAATGCAGCGCTGTCTAATTTATTTCACTGGTGCTTGTCTGTTGCCATGAAAGTTGAGTGTCAGTAATAGCCTGTAGATGGCACTAGGGTATCATGTCGCTTGTGCTGGCCAGGTGCCAATCCCGCAGTAGCAAGAACGGGGGGAGGGAAGGATCAAGCTGGTGCTACAGCCAAAGATACCTTTTATTTAATGATAGTTGCTCTGGAGCAGCTAGCATTTAAATTCATTTGCTTGCTCTTTTGCGATCAGCTCTCACCACACCAACTTTCTAGGATTTCGTAATCCAAGTGCTATCCTTGTTGGTATGGAGTCCACCCATGGCGATGGCCCATCTGAGTTTGTTGAAAATAAGGGACATACAGATTTCAGAAAATTCAGGAAAACAAAATAAATTTGCAGGATAGTATTGACAGTTGTTGCCTAGTGTTTGAAAACTCAAGAGTTTTTCCTTTGTTATGTATGTGGGGGTGGGGTGAGATAGAATGTTTTATTGAAAGTCTAGTTTCCTCTTACACTCTAGTGTTTATTGCTCTGGAATGACTTTAAGGTTTGGTAGTAATAAGATACTTACGAAAACAATTTTGTCAATGAATCACATAGATATTTCCAGAACAGTAAGCATAATGCCTATGGATTATTCAACTATAATCTCCACTTTTTAAAGTGGAAGATTAGATACCTAGAGCATTTTGAAAGTCCACATACTTGGAGCTTAAATGCACAGAAAGAAAGGAATTAAAATAAGTTCATATAGAAATTTTAGAGGAGAGTATGAAGTTTTTCGATAGAAGTTCAAGTTGGAAGGACGTATTTTTATGTTAACTCCCTCAGCTTTTTAAGAGAGGTTGGTGTTGTAAAATTTAGAAAATTTCAGAGCTTAGTAAAGGTTTATAAAAGTTGGTAAATAGTTAATCATGTAATTTATGAAGCTAAATATGAAGTTGCTATTAAAAGAAAATGGCTTTTCTAAAATTTACTTTTTAATGTGAAGCTCACTCACAATATACTGAGATTTTATGATTTGCATAATATCTTGAAAAAAGCTAACATGATGGAAACTTTTCACATAAATTCTGGAATTTGTTTTCCAAAGGAAGAGACTGACATTCTTCCGACATCATCTTTCTTTTGATGCAAACGTGGTGTGTATTAGCATTGACGTACAGGCCCACTTTTTCTGACTTCTCTGCAAGAGTTGAAACTATATGTAGTACAGAGACATAAATGTTAAGCGCATTTCAGTGAATTATGGAAAAGATACTTTGTTGAGGCTTAGTCATAAGAATATTTGTATGACGTAATCTTTAAAATAGGATGCTGACTAATTCTCTAACTGGAACTAAAGTGCATTTTAGACATTCCTTGAGACCATGTGTCTCTGTAGGCATTTTGATGTTCAGACATAGCTATAATTCACGATTATGATAAAGAGCTATTGAAATGGCTTTGCTTTTTACCTTTTACAAGTTTTCATGCTGAGAAAGAAAAATTGCAGTGTTGGAGAAAAGGAATATTGGAAGTAGGGAGAAGTGATGGTGATAGCAAGATGCATAATTTTAGTATAAAAGAGGCATATTTTCTATGAATGAAGAACACAAATTATATACTATCCTTTAGTTTTCCTTTTTTAACTGAGCCACATGAGTGTTATCTGAAGATGTTCTAGTTAAGCTAAAATAAAAATTCTTTTTTTAGCTCCTTCACTTCAACTGGTGGCTTTTATATAAAATGTGCTCCTGAAGCTACATGATTTTAAAAAAGTAGGGTTTATTACAACAAAAGCCTTCAAAGGAATTTATAAACATATAATCTGTGAAGATTTTTAGTTGAGTGGGCACAGATTGCTGTTAACAGGAATACCTTTTCACTTACTGGTGCTAGGTGATGTGTGAGTAAATTCCAAGACTCTTGAGTAAAGGGTTACCGAATTTAAATATCATTAATTTGTATCATCTATACAATGAAAACATAATGTCTGACTCTTGTACCATGAGTTTGCTTAGAGTGCATTGGTTCTTACTTTGTCTCCTGTTCCCCTGCTGTTTTGCCTTGTGTGACCCTGCAGAGAACATTGGAAACCAGATTCCCCATCCCCTCTCTTTCACTGAGCTTTCATTTTCTTCAAATATACCAAATCGGCCACTGGATTTTCCATGAAATATTTCACATGAATCTTTGGAAGTATCCTTAGCACTCACAAATTGAGTGAAATGTCCCTTTAAAAAAAAAAAAAAAAAAAAAGCAAGGTCATGTCTTGATATTTATTCACAAAGAAGCAGAGTTCACTGTTAGAGGGTTAAGAGGATGACAACATAATCAATTCCAGTAGCACTTTAAGGGATAAAGCTCATTGGTGTATTTTTCTAAAAGGAAAATATATTCTTCGTGGGATTATTATTTTTATAATGTGTGATGCTAAGTTTTCAAATTTTAGGGTGTCTCAGAATCTCCTGGAGGGTTTCTTAAAACGTGGGTTATTGGAGCCCTCTCCCAGAGGTTCTGTGTCAGTGCCATTGGGTTGGCTCCAGTGGCACTGAAAATTTACATTGCTGACGAGATACTCGGCCATGTTGGTGCTGCTAGTCCAGGGACCATACTTTGAGAACCACTGCCTCAGCATGTTGGAATCAGACACGTCAGCTCCTTTCCCTTTCAGATGATCATTTCCAGAGTACCTGCTTGTGCACAGCCCAGCTCTCAGTCCGCTTATTGACAGCTGGTTTATTGTAGCTGGAGGGGCTTTACAGTAAGCTGTTTATTGCTATTTCCCAACCCGGTTGACAGCATTCGGGGAATTAATTTTCTTGGCCCCAGTGTGCTTTTTGTGGGGGGGGGGAAATGAATGAAAATGTTTTTAGTATTTTTTTTTTTTTAAAGTGACCTATTTACATTTGACAACTTCTTCCAGCAATAAAACAATCTGTGAGAGTTGTAGTAGAGTTTGGTTCTGGGTAAGCAATCATGTTTAATTTTCTAAATGAAATGCTTATTTTAGAGTTTAAACATCCTGACTTTGTGCACAATTGAGAGTACTGGCTCGTATATACATCTGGGTATATATTGAAGAAATTATACATTGGGAATGTGTATGCATGCTATACTCAAGTGTATACATGTACTTGGACTGTGTAAAGGGAGTTGCTGCTCTTCCCAATCATTTAGAGATACTATAGTACATTTAGGATTACTTTTCATTTTTGAGGAATCCCCCTGCAGCCACTAAAATGCTATGTCCTATAAAATGCGTGAGGCAGTCATAGAATTGCTCTTGAGGAGCATGAAAAAAATGCAATTGAGAGTGAAAGGAGCAAATGTTAACTAATGTAAAGTTAGTAAAAAACTTTAAGATACTTTACTAAGTTTTGCAGAATATTGTTGTCCGTTGAACGCGAGAGGCACATGGAGAAAAATTGCTCCCCCAAATGCAAGTTTTTTTTAAAGTGTTGTCAGTTGTGATTTTTATTTCTACTCCTTCCCTTTGGCTAAGTGCCCTGTGACCATGAAATCAGTATGAGGCAAAGGATACCCAGAGCCCTTGGATTGACTTAGGAATTCGAAGTGAGGATGGGCCATCTATTCAAATTGGTTACCTTTCCTCTTGGATTTGTGAGACAAATACTTGATTTTTTTTTCAACTTGACACACCCAAGCTATGAAATTCAAGGTGCATTTTAGTATTCATTGCTAATAACCTTAAGGAGAATAAAAATAAAAGTTGCCACTATATTAAGCATAGATGTGTCTTCTGATTACTGAATATGTGTTAACACAGAGAATATAATTTCTGTAGTTAAAATACTATCTCCTAAATATTGCAATTATTTCTATATATAGAAACACTCTAAACTGATGTTCCCTTAGTTTCAGATGAGTCATCCTTATGGTGTCCCAGAACATCATTAAAATTACCTTGCGAGTATTGTACTTGTGATAATGTGTTATATTTTTATGGTATATGTGTAGTCTTATTAAATATTTCAAGCTATAATGCATCTTCTCATAATAGCACAAATTAAAATATATGTGAAATAGTAAGAGAGAATTTAGATTTAACGAAAAACCTCAAACCTAAAATCACATCTCCTCATAACTAATTATGA